AATAAATAGTTACTTACAGTTGCAGCTATAGCTTTACCTTCTAATTGCATTTATACTTATTTTTTAAAGAGCACCTTTAGAGCTTGTGCTCCTTTTATATATCTATATTATAGGAATGTCAGGGTACGTTATATCTAATTGACATCTAGCTTATACTTAATAAGCTATAGCATGCCTAGAATTAGATTATAGTTAATATTAATAATATTTAGAATAAGTTCTTTAGTATATTTCCTAATTTTCAGTTGTTTTACACAAACTTTGTATTGAATCTAGCTATTGTCCTATTATATAGGAGATCCATTTGCTAAGGTCAGATAATATAGCTTGGTTTTCAGTTTTATAGTAAGATGCTATCTTGCTACAAATCTTCTAGAAATGTAGTTCCTAATAGCTCTAGAGTTAATTATAACTTAAGCTTATTATCCCTCTATACCTATATTAAGGAATAAATATATTACATACATTGAAGCCTAATTAGCATATAATAAGTATTAAACCTATTTAGCGCTTATTTGCGTTTAGAGCTCTTTATTATAGTTTATAAATAAGAGCTGTTACTATTTTTTAATAGCTCTATCTTATTATAAAGTTTCTTTAAAAACCAGTTTGCATTTTGCTTACTGCTAAAATGGATTTAGCAGGGGTTGTTATAATAGGCTATTTATAATATAGTAGCGTATTCCTTTATAGAATCCTGCTAATCTTATTTAGCTTTATAATATATTGTTTAATAATGTTTGTATACTAGGTCTATACAACTGTAATAATATAGTATATTGTAATTTAAGTAATTAAGCTCTTTAATCTTTTTCAAATCCTTTAGTTCTAAAATGACAGGTAGTTCTATTATAGCTATCTAATATAAGCCTTATATTAAGCTAAATTACTGTTATTTTATTTTGCATTCTCTAGCTTAGTATCTAGATTTACTATAATAAAGGCAAAGGTTCTTCTTTATCCATTTCTCTTATTAGGCCTTAGTGAGTCCTAGTTGCTTCCTTCCTTAAATAGCGTCCAGTTCCATTTTGATAAGGTATATAGCTCTTTCTAATAGAGGGTTACACCTTTTTAAAGTATTTAGATAAAAGGTTGTCTTTTACTGACCCTTTTCTAATTAACGCTTATATATTTTAATATCGATTTTTACAGTTAATTCTATAAATGCTATAAGAGTTATAAGTCTGTCAGTCCTATAGATTTTGTCTTTAACGCTTTCCTTTAAGCTATAATAGAACTTGGCAGCTAAGGCAGAGTTATCCTATTCTATTCTAAATATAAGTTGCTAAAACTTAGAAGCGTACTTTATAACAGAAATGGTTTAATAGAAGCATTATATATTGCATTTAGCAGTTTGCTCTTTGTTCTAGGTATTATAAATTAACTTAAGCTTTATAGTAAAAGCTTAAAAGTTGTTAAATAGTTATCTAATTTTGGCTTTTCTATTTATAGAATTTAGGTTTTCTATATAATCTGTAAAATATAGTTTGAACTAATTAAAGGCTCTATCTTTTAAAAAAAAATTGCTATATATAGTATTATATTATCTTTAATTATGAAATTAGCTAAATAAAACTTAATATTTAATAATATTTAAATAATAAACAATTATACTTTTGTTTAATTATTACTAAATAGCTTAGGAGCTGACACTTTGAGGCTATTAGCTCTACTAAATGTAGTTACAGCTAGAGTAATAGATTTTCCTCTCTTATTAGAATTCATAATTCTAAAGCTAAAGGAGATATTGTTGAATTAGTCTAATAGTCTGGTAATAGAAAATATAGAGCTAGTAATAGAGAAATCACTATTAGATTTGCTACTGCTTATAAACAAGTTAGTACTTTTTATAAGTAGTTAAAGTGTTATATCTTAACAGGGCAGGCAGGTTAATACGCAGTTTATTAATAAAGCAGGGGCTTATTTATAAAAGCAGGAGGTGTTGTTTAGGTAGGTATAAGATTATTAATATAAGTTAACTACAAACTATCTAAGAGACTAGTAAGAACTAGGTGGCTATATACTTAAAGAGTGTTATAGAGACTAGGTTGATCACTTTAATTACTGGATCACTATGATTACAGTGAACAAGTGATTATAGTATACTTAGCCTAATCACTTAGAACAAATAATTACTGATCTGGGCGCCAAGCTGTGATCACAGTTAGTCACATGCAGAGCACAATTATAATAGCTATCTAGTCCTATATTTTGTAGCATAGTGCTTTAGTTTAGGCGTTATATATATTCATTATATAGCTCTATAAGTTTGTTATCCTACTATGCTTTTATATATAGTAATTCCTTAACTATAGGGCTATAGTTATAAATACATTGGCTTATAATATTCTAAATCTCTATAACTGCCTAATTAAGCTTAGTAGTATTGTTAATATTAATAATTAATAGTTTCCATCCCTTAAGCGCTTTAATAGCTATATCCTAATTTATTTTTCTAAAGTTATATTTAGCTTTTTATAAAGCGGTTATTTTAGCTTTATTAATTCAAAGTGTTATAGCTTTATAGTCTAACCTATATTAGGTTAAGTGGATGTTGCATTTGTAACCTGGTTTTCTATTAAATTAAACATTAGTATAAAGTTAATAATAGTTCTGAATTATCTTTATAGAAATATGATTATACTACTTAGTAAAGCTAAAAAAATATTATACTATTATATCTATTAAAGCACTAGTTTGCTTTCTTTTTTATATTATAATTATAGCATATTGATTCCTTTTTATATTAGGTTATAGCAGTTAAAATCACTTTTAGTTATAATATAAAGGTTCTCTCTATATTTAGCTTTTACTTTCTAGATTACTTTATTTAGAGCATTAAGCCTAGTAGTAGCTGTCTTTTCTAAGTCCTACTTAGAAGGTATATATTTATTACAGCTTAGGATATAGATTAACGCTATAAAAATGTATTTTATTAATATAATAATAACTTTTGCTATTATATTAAATAATATTATAAGGATTTAAATAAATAGAATATCTTTATAAATATAAAATGCTAATTAAAACGCATAATATATTAGTCCCTTTTAATATATAGATAATATTATAATAGCTTAGCATTAATTTTGCAAAATGTATAGTTTGCTTTTAATATTAATAATGCTTAGTTTTATAATTATAATTACTATAAACTAGCTAATAAACTAATTATTAATAAGGCTGAGCTAAATTAGGGATTATTTATTTATATTTACTAAAAGAAAGCAGGTATCCTTTATTATATATTGCTTATAGTGATTTTCTATTTAGTATATTAGCTTATAACTGTTTGCTAGTTCTCTTTCCTTACTTTAATAGGCTGGTTAAAGGGTTTGTTTCCATTTTAGATTCAATTAATCTTATTTCAGTATGTTATGCAATTAAGGTTTATAGCTATATATAGTCCCTTATATACTATATACTTTAATATTATAGCTATATAGTTATTAATTTTATAGTTATTTATATATTTTCTATATTTTAAGGGTTAGCTATATTTAGCCTAATAGTAGCTATATTTATTATAGTTATAACATCTCTAGAGGTATTGGATCTTATAGTATTAGCTAATTATAGCTATGCTGCTATTAACTTAGACTATATGTTCTTTAAGTATTCTCTAAGCGTTCTTTATTATATTAAAATACGTTATTATAGATTTTATAGGTTTCTCCCTTTTAAAGAGCTAGAATACTTTAATAGCTTTATTAAATCTATTTTTTATATTAAATTCAGCTATTGTTTCTAGTTTAATTTTATAAATACCTAGTATTAAAACTGCTATTTTATATATATTATTAACTTTAATTAGGAAGAGTTTCTTTTTCTAGATTTAGGCTATTTTAAATATTTAATAAATTTATACTTTATTTATTTATAATTATGCTATGTCTTTTCTATTTTAGATAATCATTTTTATATTCTTTACTTTAAATTAGATTTCTTTAATAACTATATTGTTTATAGATTATTAAGCTATAATAGCTTTTAGATTTTATTCCTAATTGCTTTATAGTTATTTATTATTTTACGCTATTTAGCTATTATTTAGCTTAAGTCTATTATAACCTTTAGGAATTAATATAGTTTTTTAAAAAAAAGTAAATAATATTATTATTATAATATTACTATATTAAGGCTATATAGCTAATAATAATAGATTAATTAAGCCTAATACTGCTAAAGTATAGAAAATTAATAAAAAAAACTGCTATATTAAGGTTAGCTAGAAATATTAAGCTTACTTATTTAAAGATTAAAAGGATTATCTTTCCTTTATTAATATTAAACTTAATAAATTAGACTTTAATATTTAGAGCTTTAATATTAATATTAATATTTTTAATATTTACGCTTATATTATTAAGCTTCTTTTTAAGCTTTTTATTTTTCTTTATAATAATATTAAATATTGTTATTATTATAACGTTCTTTTAATAGAGTTGCTTATTCTAAATCTGGAATAATCTATTCTGATTTTAGAATTATTTATTCTATATATAGAATAGTTCATTCTATTCCTAAAATTGCTTAAGCAGCTTATTAAGCTTATTATTCTAAGCGTTCATTGCTTCTTTAATAAGACGCTTTAATATATTTTTTATAAAGATAATATTATTATTAAGCTAAAATGAGCAAATAGGTTAAATTAACTTTTTATTTTATTTAGTGTTTCTAGCTTGTTTCTATATTATTATAGCAGTATTAGGTCCTTTTAAAAACAGCGCTAATATGACTATAGCAATAGCGTTACTAGGACAGTTGGGCAGCACCCTTTCCCTCAACTAAAATCGACAGGAATTGGATAATCCGACTTTTCAAGTCGGCTTGTAGATGAAACTGTCAATAAAATGATGAATATCGATAAAAAAAAATATCGATGTCGTTTTTCCTCCTCCGCGAATAGATGAGGATCGGCCTCGACTCTGCTTGCTGCGCAAAGGATGGGGAATGTGGGGAAATATGAGTTGTCTGGGCTAGCATATTTGACATCATCAGTCGTTGTGGCGGAGTGGTTAACGCGTCAGACTTGAATTCCCTTCGAGCTATCTGATACTCTCGAGTGCGCAGGTTCGAATCCTGTCAGCGACGCACTTTTTGCATTTTGATGCGCTATATGGTTATATATCACCATGCTACAACAAATTGGTGGTAATAGAAATGCTTTTGGACTTTCCGGAATGCTTCTGGTTTCTTGTTGGAGAACTTCCAGCTCTCGAGTCGCCTGCGCCAGAATTTTCCCCTCGGATTATTGTTGGTGCTCGGATGCGGAAAAATCATTTTCGCCGTATCAATATACAACAACAGGTTGAGTGCAAGGTCTACCAGACTAGGGTGCAGAGAAACGCCATCTCCCTATCATGGCAAGCAGGACAAGATCTTGCTCAGACTGGCCAACACATCTCCCTGCGCGGCAGCAGTTGCGTCCAACTTGTTATGAGCAAGCCCAAGGCTGATACTAGCATAGCATCCATCAGTGCCCGCAACAGAAGCTTCAGTAGGCAATCTATCTCCATCACCACAAGTAACAACATCCACTCCCGAAAAGACCGTAGCAGTGTGGATCCTGCTAAGCACAAACTTGAAGTCACTGGCAGAAGTGCAGCTGGTACCAGATCCAGCAGCCGGGAAATTGACATTAAGCCAGGTACCCGTAGGCAAGTAAGGCTTTCCAGCCTCGATCAGCGTGTTGGTAACATTGGTCGCCAGATCAGCATAGATCAGCGCGTAGTCAGGCGTAGCAACATCCCATCCGGTTTGGCTGCCAGTAGCACCGGAGAAGGCAATGCCAGGAACACCGAGTTGATCAGCTGCGGCGGAGGCGGCACCAATTGTGCCAGCAAAGAGAGTTACGATGCCCAAGTTTGACCCGACATTTGGACCAGAGACGAGGAGGTCGGGGAGACCGTCGAAGTATGTGGTTGATAGGTTCTGAACACCATATTTCATTGCTGTCACTGGGTAGGAGTTTACGTAGTTGAGACGCTCTTTGGTGCTGTTGTGGCCATAGGCAGGGCTGTCGGAAGGGCAACTAGAGTATTCACAGCCATCGGTCACAGTTGTCGGAGTAGCTTCCAACGAATCTATACGTAGTCATCAGTGTCTGTTTCTACTCCTGTAGCGTTGGTCTCTTGAGGTAGCTGACCTGAACCGGATTTGTTCTCGGCAGGCGCGGAGAGCACGACTGAATTGCCCGAGCTGGTCAAAGTGTCGTAGAGGGTTCTGATGTTCATCTCAGCCCAGCCATCATCATTGGTGGAAACAATGTTAGCAGCCTGAACAGCAAGAGGGAGAAGAGAAATAGTGTAGGAGAGATGCATCTTTTCAACGAGAGTCTCGAACAGAAACAATGTCAGAAGCAGGAGAACAAGAGAAAGAGATGATTGAAGTTCTTGTGCGTAGTTGCCGTAGCTGGTGACCTACCTCTAATAATGCTACCCATTGCTGTTCATTGCAATCAAGGAACCTATTAAAGAAGAAGATCCTGATTGTTTTAATCTCGCTTGCAATTGCAAAGTGTAGTAATGCCTTGACGGCGTGGACGGGTTTCAAGCCGAAGAACTTTTCCCCACCACAGACTCGACCACGTGTTGAGGACATTCGCTTGGACCTTAGGATTGCCCCATCTCTATACGAAACGCGTCGATCAAAACGTGCACATATGACCACGATAATCGATAGAACCTCAATGTTTAGTGAAGTCTCTTGTCTACGATATCAGGCTGTCCCTGGCTGCAGGAATGAATCTTGGTGAAATGTCATTTCTCCGTCGATTGGGAAAGGGCAGTGGTACAATATCCGAGCAATAAAGGAATCAATCGAAGGGTTTTCGACAATGGACGCATTACGCCTGAAGAAGGGTAAAGTTTGCGAGAAGTGGAGATATTCAATATTTTTAAGCGCACGGGTCCACCACACTCTTGAGGAAGGAAATGTCCAGATGCATCAGACTCTCTACGGAAGGCTGGAAGACTGCCCGATGACTCTGTACTTTTCGAACACGCTATTCATGCCTCAACAACATCCAGTTCTTTCCCATCCCTGACCTCTCTTCTTTCAACACTAGCCTCGACCTTCTCAGTCATCAACTCTTTGACGCCTTTCAAGAAGAAAACGGCGACAATAGCCAACACAATGAACGGCACAATACTAGCCCAAGCCCGGCGATATGCTTTGGCATAAACCCATCTCCCGGCATCAGTCAACCCCGAGATCTGCGTAGCATCCAGTCCCAATCCTGTCACGTTGCCTGCAGTCATGCCTAGTACCATAGCAGGGATATTTGCAGCTGGTACACCGAGTCTTGCAGCGGTGGTTGACAGGCTGGAGGCGTAGTGGGAGGCTAGATAAGAGTTTATGATCGCATCAAGAACGGCGGAACCAAAAGCACCGCCGATTGCGCGGGCAGAGAATGCGAGGCCGGTAGCAGTCGAGAGAAAGGCGTGGGGAGCAGAAAATTGGACGGCTGCTACTAGGAGGGTTAGAGGGCCTGATTGACCTAGACCAGCTATGATGTTGTTAGTGGAGATGAGCTAAGATCATGGTAAGAACAGAGTCCTTACAGAGGAAGTTGAAGCCGATTTGAGCCTTGCTCATATTCGGAGTTATTACACAGTAGCAAATGGTACTAGTCATTCAGGTTAGTCGATATTGTTGCAAGGCTCGACCAATAATGCTTACACCACCAGGAAGATGACAAAAGTTACGAGCAAAGGTGACTTGAGGTCTTTGTACTTCGTCGCATACAGCCTAATGGAGAAAATTAGACAAGAACGTATCCAGAATTCAAGTATGGTTGCTTACGTTATGGGGATCGAGACTACCAGCGTCGTAATGCTGTAAGCTAGTTGTCGTACAGAAATGCTCCATGAGTTGTTTTCGAAGCCCAGATTCAGAACTATGAGAGGTGTTACGCTGTTCACAGCACTATAAAACAGCCATCTGAAGCAAGTCAGCAAGTTATGTCCTTGATCTTGATCTTGATACTAGATATTTACCCTTCAACAGCAAAGGCGAACACAGACAGGGCGAAATTAGGAGAACCCTCGAAAAAGACGTGCGCCACAATTCCATCGCTTCTGCCTTTCCACTCTGTTGAAAACAACGTTATCAGAATACAGTATCTTCGAAAGGAGCAGGGAACATACCATATGCGGCGAAAAGGACCATCAGTACCAATCCGACAGCAAGAGGGGCGGCAACATGAGCGTCTGACCAGGCGTAAGCTCCGCCACCCCAGTCCAACGCGAGTAGCAGGACAGTGGCACTAGCGACAAACAGAAGACTGCCAATCGGATCAATAGCCCAAAGTGTCTCTTTCAAGCTCATACGTCCATAGTCGGAGCGCCGCGGAGGATTGTAGAATATCAGTAGCCCCAGTGAAGTTGCTAGGTGGAAGGCTGCTTGCATCCAGAAGATATCTCGCCAGCCAGATGCATCTGAATTGGTCACGGCTCCTGCTCCAATACCGCCCACACTGAAGTCACAGTCAGTATTGCGTGCTTCTGCGACGTTACTTTGGCGCCTGGTCGCCACTTACAGTCCTCCAACAGCTCCACCAAGAAAAGCGAACCCATTAGCTAAAGCTCTGTATTTCATAGGCAAGACCTCGCTTGGAATGGCTTGTGTGATGGATATAGTCGACAGAGTTGTACCGATCAAGATACCGCCACCAATGAGCATAGCCTTGCCAGAAGTTAGTGCACTGGTCTTTTCCTATGTCCGGAACGAGACACTAACCATGGATGTCGCTTTAGCAGACACGACTGCTCCGATGAAAGCAATGAGTGGCGGTATGGCGGCGAGATACTTGCGGTCAAGTACATCGGATAGTCTCCCAACAATAGGAGAAAGTACGCTTTGCATAAGAAGAGGACCCTCTTTAAGCCCATCTTGTTAGCGTTATATCTGGGCCTCTGAAACAGAAAACTCACGAATGATCCACCCAGCAATGGAGGCATCGCCTAGGTCGCGAATTATGAAGGCAATCACGGAGCCTGCTGCGACTACAACATATACTTGGGTCATGATAGCAAAGCAAGTCACGAAGACCACCATCCATGATCGCCAGGACAGGTTGATGTGCTGCGCTTCCTGGTACTCCGCGATATGAGCCGAAGGTGGAGTGAATTCTGGATCGTCATGCTTTGGCTGGACATGTTCAATTGTTTCTAGCTGAATGGTATCCGACTTGTCGGAGGCGGCCATTTCGGCATTCGACGTGATTGTCATGTCTTCGACCAACAGTCACAAGATCTTGAAATGCAAAGCTTGAAAGGAGAAAATGCACGGCGTGCAGATCCGGGCTACTTGCTCCATTTATTGGCTTGAGCAGAGCTATGACTTTCGGCAAATACGTCTATTCCTTCGCCGTGATGTGCATAGACAACATTTCGTGCGTGGGTCGGATTGCGGGGCTGTATGTGCGGGGTTGTGGGGCATTTGGGGTTGAGTATGGGGAAGTCTCTATGTACTTAATTGTACCTTACCTTATCAGGCAGTGCCCGGCGCGAAGATCGAGCTCCTTGTCAACTGCCGTTCATCTGAAGAAACCAGTCAAAAGCAGCTGACCGAGGAAGTCTCAACACGTTGTGTGATATTCTTTTGTCATGACGATCTTGGCGCAACGCATCGTTGAGACGTTACACTAAACGACTTTGAAGGCAGTCTCACCAGTCAGGACAGTGAAGTTCTCGTGCCCTCTCTTCTTGAACACTGCATCGACCACATCGATCAACTGGTGTTCACTGCCTACGAGAGATTATCAGCGCACGAATGCTAAGAATATCAGTATATAATGCCACATACCAAAAGGCCCAATCAATGCAAGGCATACGGGCTCGAAAGTGTGCTTTCCAGTCGTTGACGAAATCACAGGAACTTGTGCGATCGGTACGACCAATTCGGGATATCCTCCAAGAAAGGAGCATTGGTGAAGATCGAATCCAACACCTTGTAGGTTCGATGCTCTTAGCTCTGTTGGTCTAGAAAGATAAGTCGTTTGCATTTCTGATTGTATGGCCCGACTTACATTTGATCACTGCCTTCACGGTATGCCAGTGCTGGCGGATTCGCGGGCAGCACAAGAATGT